TCCAAGATGCTATGTCCATGCAATGCCCCCTGTCCCCTATCCTGTCACCTGCTGGTCTGCAAGGGGCGACAGTGTGTGTGCCCCTTGCAGACCAGACACCCCCTGGGGCAGTGGCCTAGGCTTCCTCCATCACAGCTGCAGGGGGGAGTTAGGGGTGGGCTTAAGGGTGGGCAGGGCCTCCCAGAGAGAGGTTTTTGTATGAGCCTGTATCACAGTGTTGGGTGTTCGGCGGAGGGACCCAGCTGACCGTCCTAGGTGAGTCTCTCCTTCCCCCTCCTTTCCTGCTCCCCTACAAAGTTTGGGCTGTTTTCTGCTATTTTTTGCTCTTTTTCTGGTCTTGCCTCAGCCTGCGGCCAAGCTTTCACCCAGGACCCCAGCCCTTGGGGACCTGAGGTCTTCCCACCCCTGTTCTTACTGTCCTACTTGGTCACCCTGAGCCATTCACCTCTGACCACACCTCAGAGACAGGGGAATGGACAGGATCCATTGTGGATTCTTCTGTCTGTTTGGGAGGGTCGTGCTGGATTCCAGTTGGGCTTTGTTCTGTCTTCCCCTGATGGGCTCCTGTGGGACAGGACTTATATCTCCAGGTCCCTGCTGGCCCCTGTCTGAAGGGGAAGAGAGGAAAAGAAGTACCAAGGGAAACCCGGCTGGAAATTTAAGGGTGACCCAGATGCTCAGGGCCAAGGTTAGAGACACCCAGGTCAGAGGTTCAGGGCAGGTCTCAGGGACTGTGGACTCAGGAACAGGGGCCAGGAATGGTGCTGGGGTGCAGGGCTCCCCAGGGCTGCATGGAGCTGCCATGTGGAGTCCTGACCAGCCTTGTACCAAGGAAGCCGTGTACCAGGGAAGTACACGGGGGGAGGAGAAGGTGCTGGAGGAAAGTCATGGAAGGACCGGTGTGAGGACAAGGCGGCCTTTGGTCTGTGCAGGAAGAAGATTCTCACAGAAGGAATGGCAGAATCCATGGCATGAAAGCTCTAGTGATCCGACCAATTCGTGGGGATGCATAGACTGTAGAATGAGAGAGACTCAACGACAGACAGACAGGTTTCTGTTTCATCAGAAAAAGCTGCCACCAGTTTGGACAGGGAGCAGGAGACATAGATTTGGGTGAGAAACTGAGCCCTTAGGCAGACGCTCCAAAGCCCCCAGCACCGAGGATCAGGTAAGAGGTGTCCACAGATGGACCCAGCAGGAGGTCAGAGGGCTCAGGGCATCTTTTGTGGGACAAACAGACAGACAGACAGACAGACACAGACAGGCCCGGTCAGATGCCAGGAGAAGGCAGAGCCAGAGGGTGACAGTCAGATGTGTGGGGGGCAGAGAGGGGTCCACAAGGACGGTGATGGCAGGTTCCAGGCTCAGGGTTTCTCAGGAAAATGGGGAGTTGACCTACAAACACCCCAAACTGCCCTGCACGGCATGGACTCTCACACCCAGAGAGGCCCCTGCCCTCGGGGTCCTGCATGGTCCTCAGGACACTGTGCCCACAGGAGGACCGAGGTCAGCAACTTTCAGGATGGACCCTGAGCCTCTCCCCTCCTGTCCCTCCCGCACCCACAGGTCAGCCCAAGTCTGCACCCTCCGTGTCTCTGTTCCCGCCATCCGCTGAGGAGCTCGCCAACAACAAGGCCACACTGGTGTGTCTCATGAGTGACTTCTACCCGGGCAGCGTGACGGTGGTCCTGCCCTGGTCGCTCAGGGTGGGCAGGTCACCATCCCTCCCCGTTTCCCCTTCTCCTGAATAAACTCCTGTCATTTCTCATCTGACATTTCGCATGTGTGTTCTGTTTGGGGAGGGTCTCTGGGTTGAAGGGTCAGTAATAAAGGGCAGGACAGGAATGACATGACATGGACAAACCTGAGGTCCACTCCGGTCACCCATCAGGGACCTGAATCAGCTTGAGTGCCCATGGGAGGTGGTTCCCAGGGCAGGAACTTCTCCAGTGGTTCTGGTCCCTGGGAGGCAGTCCTTGTCCCTGTAAAGGAACAGGTGCTGAGTGACAAAGATGTGAGCACCCTGGGGGGCAATCAAGGAAAACCTAAGAGGGTCCCAGGAGGGCACGGTGGGCTACAGATGGAAATATTGGGAAGGAAATCATGGAGCCAAGGCTGAGGTCATTGGGAACAGACATTGAACTGCCCTGTCCGTCATGGAGCCCAATGGGAGAGCCATTGCCAGGCGAGGGGCTCATGGTTGGCCCATCAGCTCGGAGTCAGGGAAAGCTTGGAGCAGTGCCTCCCATGGGGCGTTGGTCAAACTCTGCCAATGCACGTGAGCTAAGGAAAGGCACTGACTAGTCCTGCAGCAGAGAAACAGTTAAATATCATGGAGCCTGACAATTCCCCCATCATGTTCATTCCTCCTATCAGCTCAGGGAGCCTGGGACTCACCATCACTGGTGTGGGAACATGGGCTGAGGATGAGGCACACGGAAGCTCAGTTTATGTTCTCATCGTCTTGGGTCAGGCTCAGGCTCAAGGTGACCCTTGCTTAGGCCTGGGACCTCCTTCATGAAGATCTCAAACCCTGAAGTCAGATCAACCTGAGAGTTTTGAGGGTTGATTTTCAGGATTGAGCAGGTAATGTCAGCATCTCAGGTGGAATAGACATGGGCGTTGTCCTTGATGGATTACAAAGGGCACCGTCCTGGGCACAGAATGGGCATCCAGTGTCGTCCCAGGGAGGGCATATCCACTGGAATTC